CAAAGAAGAATAAGAAGAAGATGGACGCGACTGACTTCTGACGAACGTTGGAGTTCAGCGCGAGTTTACAATGTTAATTTTTGTTGCTCTACAACGCAGTTATGCTCATTCGCATGAAATTTGGTTAATATTCGAACATGAGCAATCAAAATTCAGATTTAATTATATAAAACTTTATTCAGCTTTTGTCAATAAAGAGTTTTTAAGAGTATAGTGCAAGTGTCGCATGTTGGAGCTGTTCTCTATGTGATTGTTCTCTCCCTACGGACTAAGTGTTCTACCCAAAATGATATAGTACCTATATCCTTATTGATTATGCCATAGGGCAAGAAAATCGTAAATAGTGTGTTAATTTTATACTGGGATTATGCGATACACCTCTTTGCGTGTGTGATGTTTAAGATTGGGCGTTGGCGTTTGACTAGTAGGTGGTAGAGGTTGAAGTGTCTTTAGCTGAAGTTAGAGTAGGTATTAGGCTACTATCTCGGTGGTATCCTAAAATGATTATAATGACAATCAGCAGTGGAATAAGAGGGGTGTGATTCCCAGGAGAGGGGCCACCACTGGTGGAATAATCATTTGTCATGCCCTAATTTCCTACCTGCATTTACTGCTTGAAACACAACACCAGCATATAGACATCCGTGCATATATTAGGAACCATTTCATTTATATATTGCATGACATAAACTTTACCCTAGCAACTTAGAGTTGCGTGTGTTTTATTTTAATGTCGGATATTCAGTTATTTCCGCTTCAGATACTAAGTCTGCCAGTAATTGTCAGGTAGTTCTGGAAATCGGAAACTGGAGAAATTGGGCCATCTTCTAGGAGGACAGGGTGGAATTTTAGGAAATGTGGTTCATATCTGTAATTCATATTCAATTGGTTCAATTACGTGTGCTAAAAATAAAAGGGAGGACCACGTTCTGGTCTCGCTTACAATTAGTCAGGAGCACCCGTGATAAATTCCACCCTTGACTGCCCCCCCTTCGTTGCTTTGTGTACATCTTGACAAATACCAAATATTTTTTGCAGATAGTTATGGTAAACAAGTTGCTTTGGATAAAAAAATCTTGAAGTAAAATGTAAACTTGAAGTAGAGTAAAATTTAACGCGATGACTGAGTTATACAAATGAACGAGTTAGACAGATTCTGCGTATTTTCATTTTCTGTACGTCGCACACGCGATGCACCTTAAGATAACTAAGCTGACGGTTGATATTCATAATTAAGCTTAAGATTTGTGCTGTCAGAATCACCTTCTAGCCTTATCTCTGTCGAGGGCGAGCTGACTTTGTGCGACAAGGCGTCTTCCGTGTTTATTGAAATATTCTAATTTTATTATTCTTATCAATCGCTAATTTAATAAGTACATGAATTATATTCAATTTAGTATTTATATTCAATATTTGTATATTCAGTATCTACATTCATAGTCCTTGTGTTTGTATCGTCAGAACTCTGTGAACGACCACTGTAGTGCAATAGCAGCAGCATGAAACGCAGGTCGAATATGGCATCTTTAGATACTGGCCTGCATCTTCGCTACTAAAATAGGCAGATCTATAGACCTGTTTTTTTCCAAGTTATTCTGCAAGTAAAACATTTGTTCGTTTGAATTTAGTTACTATTGGGTACCACAGTTTAATAATAGATTCCAGATCGCAAAGCTAGATTCCTATATTGATCGTTATTCTCGACGCTTGGTCCCTATATCAGATGTTTGATTTAGTGCAGAGGATAAACACTGGCTGCGTGGTGACGCTGAGAATGAATGCTGAAACGTCCCTAAATGCTTTATCTTATTGATGTAAAGTTACTTCATGCGGCAGCAATCAGTGTTGGTAAAAATAATATACGTGATTTTATTCCTAATTGGAGTGATTCTCTATCCCGAGGCTTGTATAAGTAGTCTGGTCAAGCTGCTAGTAAGTAGCTTCATTGACAGCTTACCTCACTGTATCATTAAAATTAATGAAATCTTTCTTTTCCTCAAAGACTATAATTTCAACTATATAAATGCTACAAGTTTGAGAAGCATCAAGAAAATTGTCGGATATTATAATTGTGAGGTGGAACGCGAAGCTACAATGAGCCTCCATTTAGAGCAGCTTCCCCGCGATATCCTGCTAATGATCTTGCAGCGTCTTCCGCGTTCTTCGCTACTTTCTGTGGTGCAAGTGAACAGACACTTTAACAACCTCACTCGTGATCCCAGCTTGTGGAGGAAGATTTTTAAGCAACTGTTATGGCCTTCAAATGTTCCGCACTTCTGTGAGAGGTTAGTTCATTGTCATCTTTTAGTGCACCTCTCGATCCCGGAAGCATGCGATTTGGACTAGATCTTGCTGGCTGTTGGGGAGAACTGCCATAGATTGCGACACCTCGACATCAGTTATACGACAATACAGTCCACTTACGCCATCCGTAAGCTGTGCCACGACTGCCCCAATATCGAGGTTCTGTACGTCGAAGACACAACAATTCACCGACCAAAATGTTTGAGAATTATTAAACACATTGCTAGCTTGAAAAATTTGAAAATTTTGAACTTGAATAATTGTGTTTGGGTAGGTCCTCAGCACCTAACGGCGTTCAGCATCACCGAACCAAGAGTGAACTTCTTACAATTGGAACCGAGTCCAGGGGAAGACCCGGGAGAGTACGAGTTTGAAGAGTTATATGGGTTTGCCTCTTTAAAACCTTGGTTACCAGCTTCTAGATACGCACTGTTGATGACGCAGTGTTTAGAAGTATATTCCTTGTTCTACACTTCAAATGGCGATGAATCCGGCCATGATCTTGCGGAAATCATCAACATTCCGGAGCTAAGAGCCGTTTGGATGCGCATGCATAACATAAGCAGCACAACTATTACAGAGGCCTTCGTCGAGGCTAGGCCAGAATTCTTGGCGTATTTTAGGCTGGAGTTGAGCGATTCCTGTACAGACATGATGCTCCATGTGATGCTCCCACAAATGAGATCGCTTTTTTATCTGTATCTTGAAAAATTTGATGCTGTAACTTCCGAAGGCTTGGAAAGGATTTACTTGTGTAAAGAGCTTAGGATATTCTGCATAGTTGGCACTCCTCTTGGACTCCCTGTGTTCATGGGGCTAGTAAGCAATTTAAGATCCTTAAGAGTCCTTGGCCTGTACGGTGCAACCAATCTCTCCGAGAAAGACTTCAGAACTCTGGCATTGTTTGCAGCGCCTCGCGTCACCATACAACACTAATGCTATGCCACGTCTAATACGACAATTTTAAATTAGGTAATATGAATTCTTGGACGATGTTGTCTTAACGGAAGTTGACGTATACAATATAATGTTACGGCGAATATCTTCACCTTGAATCTTTTATTAATTAGAACAACTTTACTTTTTTCTCTTAAGCTCAATTTTACAATGCATTGAAGCTTTTCTTTTCCACTTCTGGTAGATTGTTCCTTAGGGTTAAATATTTATAATCATTCCAGTTTATTTAACTGAACGGTTGAACTCTAATTAACCTCTTCGTTGCACAGCTTTGTCTAGCTGGTAGAATTATCTTACTAGTGAGAAGTTATTATGTGCAACGCAAAATTAAAATCCGCTCGCATTCCTTGGAGTCATGCTCATTGTGATTCAAGAAATAATGCTTACACCTTTTCTTTTGTCGTACCTAAAAAGTTTGCCTTCGTTAAAATCGGTTGACTTTTGCGCTCAGGGCTTTGGCTCACGAGTATGAGAATTTTAGCGGATAAAATAACATGACAAATTGGTTTTAGTATTGCAATTTAACTAGGACAACTGACACGTACGTTAGTACTTATTTAGTGAAATAATATGCTACAGAGTTATTTAATGAGACAAATGTTTTAATTTCGAGATTTTAATCTGAATAAATAATTTTTTTAATATAGATGTTACTCAAGGTGCTGTTGAAAAAATATATAAAATGCTGTATATTGAAATTGTTTCTTTGAGTGGCTTGTTGACCTATTTGAACTTGAATTGCAATTTACAGTGCTGAGTTTTGAGTATTGAGTGCAGATCAAAGAGATATGTACGAAAATATCGTGCTGTGGCTGAGAAGCTACCGCGAAAGCCTATTTTTTACGAACGTGCGAGCTGCAGTCCTTCCAAGAAAGTGTGAGTAATTATGTTTCGCTCACACAATCGGACGAATAAATAGATAATAGATTCAGCTGATATTTATTCAAAATAGATGCGAATGTTTCAACTGATAATGATTAGGCCGGTTGTAGAAGGAAGCTGAATTCAAATCCTTATATACTGTAGTATTTAGATCCAAGATGAAAAGGAGTTGACAATTTTGGTGGATTGACGGTATCTATGAAGTGGTTGCGGTATTTAAAATTTCTTGTTGCCCCGATGAGTCCCCGATACTGGAAGAAAAATATTTATACTCAATAAAAATGAATTAATCGAACATTAACAATGTGACAACCTACTCTAACTTATGAATCAAATACCGACATAAATAAATAAATACAGACCTAAGATTTTGGTGCATCTCAGTGTTTAATGCAGTTAGGAGGCATAATGAAAAATAGAGGAAATCAGTTGAAGGAAGGTACTCTAGGCGGAAAATAGAAAACGACAGTTGGAGGCTTTACGTTGGAAATTTGAGATAAAGATATTGAAACGTAGGTCACAGCTAAGGAAACTAGTTCCTCGGCCTATAGCAGAGACCTCGTTCACTTGGTTCGAAATTTGATATATTAATAATTGATCGTTGAATTGCCTAGGGCACCGTAGAAAAACTTGAATACAGAGCGTAAATAAGTAATAAGATAAAAAAGCATTCTTCACACCAACGAAAAGATAGGGAAAAAGCAGCCAGGAAGACGTTTAGAACTTCTGAATCTCCCGATGCTTCTCCGGCTGAAGTCGCTGTATACTTAAGCGTTGAATGAATGAATTGATTGAATAACTGACAATTAACGCAGATTTGAGATAAAGAACGGTACGAGATGGGATGACTTTACAATATGGGTGCTGATAAAGGAATGCTGATCCCAGCTGGTACTTGCTACCTACTTAAACTGTGAAAAAACTGAATACAACAAAACTCTGAATACAACACAAACGAAACAACAACAGCAAGCTAACAAATTCAAAGGAAGAACTACAAATAATATCAATGGTGGGAAAAATTTCCCACAAAAGCGAGCAGCAGTCCTGCCAAGAAAGCGAGCAGCAGTCCTGCCAAGAAAGCGAGCAGCAGTCCTGCCAAGAAAGCGAGCAGCAGTCCTGCCAAGAAAGCGAGCAGCAGTCCTGTCAAGAAAGCGAGCAGCAGTCCTGCCAAGAAAGCGAGTAGCAGTCCTGCCAAGAAAGCGAGTAGCATTCCTGCCAAGAAAGCGAGTAGCAGTCCTGCCAAGAAAGCGAGTAGCAGTCCTGTAAAAGAAAACGAGCAGCAGTCCTGTCAAGAAAGCAAGCAGCAGGAATGTGTCATGCTAAGAAAACTATTGCATCAGAGGTGAGCCCTGCAACAAGTTCCAACAATTTCATAAAAAATTTGTGGCATGAACGATTAAACTAGCACGATTACTCCGTAAATTGGTTGCGTTTCTCTTTTGTGTATATAAAAAATGTCTCCTACGGCAATGAACCTAGAAAAAATTCAACAACAATTCTTCCTCGGTCTACAATTCATGTGATGGTTCAACCTTGATATGATTTTAGGGAACGAATGGGAGCGATCGCAGCACCTGTTGTTACTTCTTATTTAAGCGTAAAGCCGGTGTAATAATGACAGTTCAGTGAGAATTGAGCAGTGTTGTCGCATCGGTGATTTGATTGAATGCTTTTCACGACATTTAACAAAAAACATAAAAGTTTAAAAAATTTTGAATTCGTGAAAAGTTTCTCGAATTGATCTAGAATATTCAACTCGTGGATAATGAATTACATTTCAGCCACGGTAACAGTAAACAGGGTCTAATTCGAAAATTCAATAAGCAAGAACATTTTAATGAGGTTTCTTGCTTGAGCTCTAAACGCAATAAATAATTTCGAATTTCTTGCTGAAACGGAGAAGTGAATATTCCCGATTACCATGAAATTTGAATAATTATGCTAAGTTAATTGGTAACAGTCAGACCCGAAGGCCGTTGCTTGCATAAACAAGCAGCAGCTCAGGAGAAAAACTTCTCGTGAACATCGGAGGAACTTTGGGTCCAGACGATGCGACGATGTTGGCATTATAGGCGGCAAGTTTGGCGGGCCAAGAGTTGCAGGGAATCTTGGGAAAAACGACGCCTTTTTCACGGCAGCTCCTTCGGGCGAACGAGCACGAATTGAATGGGAAATATCACTTCACTTGCCTGCTGTTTCTGAGAGTGATGAAAATAGTTGAAAATTCGCTGCGTTATAAGGCAAATCGGAGTAAGGCACAATAGTGCTATCGAGCCGAAGCAATGTTTTTCTATTTTAAATTAAAATGATAGGATTGACAATGTGGGCAACTTTAACGAATAAATTTTTAACAAACATTACTGTGATATTACTGTGAAACTATTTATTAATGCCGAAACTACGAGAATATCGAAACTGTGAAAATTATAATAAAAATACGGTAATGTCTATTAAATTGCTTCAGTATAAAGGGAAAATAACGACTTTTTCAAAGAAACAAACTTATTTTTTTTCGTTGTTAGTTACTATGACTTTGGAAAATGGACCTTTAGTTTTGTCATGAAATTTGCGGTGTTCTCTCATTACAGTTGCATCAACGAAAAACATGTGAGCTTCATAGAAATTCTGAATGAAATGCAAGGCTGTTTGCTGTTAATTTCCTGCAGCCACTGAGATGTTTGGTGAACAAACAACAGCAAACAGAACAAACAACAGCAAACAGAACAAACAACAGCAAACAGAGCTGCTTCCTGTTGGCATTGCTCATTTGTTATTTAATTAGCGGGGCCTGGGGAGACGTGTTGGTGCTCGACCAATTTTGGATTGTGTCCTGAACACGAGTTAATTTAAACCTTATTAAAATTCGGTTGATACGTGTTAATTTAAACCTTTTTAAAATTCGGTTAACACGTGTTAATTTAAACCTTATTAAAATTCTGTTAATGCGTGTTTAATTTAAACCTTATTAAAATTCGGTTAAAACGTGTTAATTTAAACCTTATTAAAATTCTGTTAACACGTGTTAATTTTGTGATAGAAAAAATTTTCAGAAGTATCGCGTGGATACCCAGAAGCACTTGAACCTTTTTCAAATTAAGTTGTTTTCTTTTAGGTTTAGTGGATAGCAATATGTTAATAACATTGATTTTAATCATCACTGTTCTATCCAAAAAGAATACCTCGTTAAAATTTAAACCTATATAAACTTGAAAAATGTTTCATTTTTTATTTATTTTAGTAACAAATAGATTTTTACTATCATTAAAAAAACTCTTGAGAATCAACGGGATTCTTATTGATGAACAATTAAGACCCTAGACGACGAAATGTCCATCCCTGCGTTCTTTTTGACCAGAGTTTAATTCTAATTAAAGAAAATCTTTTTAATAAATAAAAATTACACCTAAGCATTGAATAAAACGCCACAAATTCACAAGTAGAAATTTTTGACGACAGTTTTCCAAGAAAGTTTTCAATAAGATGACTGAAATATATTTGAAGGAAGTAATTTAAGTTCAAATGGAAGCTAGATTTTTCCTAAGAACTTGATTAGTTGATGATAAATACGCTTATCTCAGCCAGGACCAAACTTCCCTCCTGAAAGTTTAGCCCAAGAAAGTCCCATGAATCTGGGAATTTTTTCAAGAAGTTGTGAAAGCCATGCCGGACCAGCGATCTTCCTTCTTACCTCAAACCTGCCCTTGAAGTTTCGCCCAAGTTTGTAGCAAAGGTGGCCAACATATAGTTGGTCCTAGCTGGGGCAGCTTCGACCTGCGTGATGTGAATAATGTTATGATGAATGGTTTCCCGCTTCATGTAGCGGGGGAATTATATGGAGGTATAATATGGTAGACTAATTTGGTAAGTTCGACGCACAAATATGCATACTAATTGGTAATGAAATTAGCATTTATGTATTGCTCTTAAACGTATTGGTAATTTTGTACGAAGAAATTACCCAATTTCACATATGTTTCTAATTAAATATGAAATGTTCATTGTATTTCGTGATCGACGTCAATGTACTACTATTGGAATGCTGTTGAATAGCTAGGCTTCTCTGCATTTTAGCACCTTATCTGAGTTATGCTGAAAAATACGGAAATTATCTGAATCGGAATGTGCTACCCAATAACTACTTTCCCTTCAAGATATTAATTAGCTTATCTGAAAATTTTTATGACTACATTGGATTTATGACATTGATGGAATTATTTTCCTTATCTAATCTTTCTATAGTAAATCTGACCCACTAAGCCACCCATCAGAAACTTAACGCACGTTTTTTTTCTATTCTCATTAAAAACTAATTTATTATTCGCTGTAACTGAGTAGCTGAGTACGGTTATATGACCTGAGATAGAGAAGGCAGGTTCAAACACGGCTCCGGAGGCCGACTCAAAGACGGCTCTGAAAACCGGTTCAAATGCGGCTCTGAAGATCGGCTCAGATACGGCTTTGAAAGCCGGCTCAAATACGGCACTGAAGATCGGCTCAAAGTGGCTCTGAACAATTCGAGTTGCCCGGTTCAGGTTTTTGCGAGTGACGAGCTTCTTTAGGACCGGAAATTAGCGTTCATTGTACGGCGCTTCTTTAGCCTCTTGACAGGCTGCGCTCGAACAACTGCACGCCGATGTTTCTAAATAAAAATCTAAATTGCCCGGACATCGACCGGGAGCTTGTATTTCAATGGTAACTGCGGGTAGCTTTGTCTGGTTGCAGAGCAGAAACTCTCGATGACTGCAGCAGTTGGGAAATGTTGTTTGTGATGCCTCAGTTGCGATTCTGAAATTTTCAGAAGCCTGAATGGATGGTAATTTCTGTGGATTATTGGACAGGCCTGAATAGTTTTTAATTTCGAAATATTGTGTTCCGATGAATGTTTGTGTGATTTTGAATTAATTTGTACATTATAAATTTGTTTGCATGATAGATTTTAACTTTTGACTTATGTTTTACATAAAATAGAAAAGCTTGCATATGTCAGTAATATCTTTAAAAAAATGTGTGTTTTTTTCGTGGCGACTGCAAAACTATTGAAGTATTGCGAATCAACTGTTGTAAGTTGGTTCAGCTGCAACCGATACCGGTCATTAATCCCTAAATGTTAAAAAATATAGATTTACTGAAAAATGCATCAATTAATGGAGCCACGTAAATACTGCAGTACACATTTCGGAATAAATACGAGTATTATTACTTCAATTTTATAGCGAGAATATGCACAAAGGTTTGAATTGCCCTGCATCTTCATCTTCCACGCACTAAAATATCAAGTGATGTTCATATAATTATTGTGAGTTTGTTAGATCATTTAACTCAAGTAAGTAACTTCAAACCCTTGCTTATGAATTTTTCATAAGCTATTATAGAAAAGTGCCTGATATTCAGAGATATTCTTGTTTTTGATCTCAATGGCGCTTGTGTTCTTACCAGCCCTCGCTTGAAGGCACGCTCGCTGATAAGGCTTCTCAATTACGAATTCGGCTGCAGAGCCGCTAAATTGTGGCGACAGTCGCGACGGTTTTTATTGCCATGCACAGATACACACCTGCATAAATCAATATAAATGGGGATTGTTTAGATTTCAAGATTACACGGTCTAAAGAAGTTTTTTCCTAATTAAAAAAACTGCTGAATTGTTAAAGAATTTTTACGCGCACGGTAAAATTTAACAAATTTATCGTGAGGGCTAAACATAAATATTAATATGCGCTGCAAAATATGTGGGTAAAACTATATATTTTAAGGAAGTTCAAGCAATAACAAATTGAATGTAATTTATATTAAACAAGTGGTCTCCGTGAACATTTGTAAATAATCGGATTATATTAAATATCAGTCGTGAGAGCATGCATATAAAAATGGTACAGCTAATATTGTTTGTTAAAATAATAAATTGCAAGGTTAAGTTGAGTTCTTAGCCCAAGCAAGGGTGTCAATAATGAGAAATTCTACAGTCAATTTTATTTGTTACTACAGCCAAGTTCCTATTTGAAGTTGAGTTCTCGACTCGAGGCCGAAAAAGTGAAAGCTAATCTTGAGCAAACTGAAAGGGATCAAACTCGAGTGGGGCGAGAAAATGGAGTAACGAAGGGGTGAGAGGATGGGTTAAAAATGAAACTTAGAGATGGGGTGAATAATTTGCAGGTATGTTATTTATTCTGTTATTGAAACTCATTTGTTAACATGGAAGCACCAGCACCCTGAATGCATAAGTGAACGTTCAAAGAGAAATTAATGAGCAGAATTCTTCGAGTCAAGCTTCTAAGCAACAATTGTAAATTGTTTGATTTACTTCACAGACATTTGTTTAGCGAGACCAGTCATGTAGAAAATAAAAATC